CCTTGGTGTCGCCGCGCTCCGTCTGCATAGCTGCCGCGAGCTTCCGTATCCTGAACTCGCGCTCGGCGACTGCTCGCTCCTTGAAGCGTTGCAAGTCTGAGGAGGCACCGTTCGTCTGCTTCTCAGCATCCTGCGCGCCGTTCTGGCTCTCTTGTAGCGCCTTCTTGTGTTTCTTGCCGGACAAATGTGCTTCGTAAACAGTCTCTTTCGAGAAGCCTTTCTTGCAGGCTGAGCACCAGATGCCCTCACCCTGCGCCTCACCGTTGACCGGTGCAGACGCCGTGGACTTCTTCTCCCAGCCTGGAACTGCGTCTTTCTCCCATGCCTCCTCGAACTCCTTGTCGAAGCTGGTGAAGAGCTTATCCAGGTTCTCTAGCGGCTTTGTCCGTCGCATGAAGCTCTCGAGGTAATCTTGTAGAGCTTTCAGGTAATGAAAGTAGGCCTCTGATTTCTTCTGTTCGCGCCGGATGTTGCATTGCGGAGGGGTGAAGATGTCGAACTTGTCGAGGTACTCCAGATAGGTCAGACGGCGCGCGTTTTGCTGAACGGGAAGGTTGAGGTACTGCTCGTGCAGAGTCGTCAGGTCGAAGAAGCGACCAAAACCCTCCTCGCCGGTGAACATGGAGTCGATGGCTGCGATGGATGCCGTGTGGTCTTCGGGTGAGCGTTTCTTGTAGGCCTTCTCCAGGTTCTCGACAGGCTCGTTCGGGTATCGGCTGTGGAAGTCCTTGATGGATGCAATCTCCTTCATGAAGGACTCCATGGGGTCGCCATGGGTGAGACCGCGCACCTCGTCCTCCTTCTTGCTGTCCTCATCCTGGTAGATCTTCAACAGGCGGCTCGACTGGCTCTCGATCTGCTCCAGGAATCGCGCAATGTCGTGGTCACGTGCGAGGCGATCGCGAATCTGATGAGATGTTAGCCTGCAGTTCGCGACAGACGCGAGGGTAATGCCTACATGCGGGGGGTCTTCTAGGAGTCGCTCGGCAGCGGCGTCCTCGAGGCGCTCGAGGTCCTCGTGGAGTTGGCGCTGATCTTCCAAAAGCATGCTTACGATCGCCTAGAGTAACTATGAGTCTTGGTATAGCAGCGGTTCGGTAGTGGATGTGCAGACCTTTGCGGCGGTGACGATGTCGAGCTGGTGGTGGAGCCTGTCGCGGCGAACTAAATCGCAAAACGCGCTAGTCAACGGGGCTAGCGCGCCGAGGCTCCGGCCCTCCGCAAAGCTGAGGCGCAACTGCTCCAAACTTTGTTGCACATCGCGAACGACTCGAAAACTACCAATCACCCATACCAACCCCGGCTTCACATTCAAGATGGCGGACGGAATCGACCGAAATGCGGACGACAAGATCGAGTTCTCCACTTCCAAGGAGGTCACGGTCGCGCCTACCTTCGAGGCCATGCACCTAAAGGAGAACTTGCTACGCGGTATCTACGCCTACGGATACGAGTCGCCCTCAGCTGTGCAGTCGCGTGCTATTGTCCAAATTTGCAAGGGTCGCGACACCATCGCTCAGGCGCAGTCCGGAACAGGAAAGACCGCGACTTTCTCCATCTCCATCCTCCAGGTCATCGACACGGCTGTGCGCGAGACACAGGGTACGTCATATCAGATTGGAGGTGTTGGACTATGCTAATCAGAGGTAGCACTCGTACTATCACCCACTCGCGAACTTGCAACCCAAATTCAGCAGGTTATCATGGGTCTCGGCGATTACATGAACGTGCAATGCCATCCTTGCGTCGGAGGAACAAACGTCGGCGAGGATATCCGCAAGCTCGACTATGGCCAGCACGTTGTCTCTGGAACCCCAGGACGTGTGGCTGATATGATTCGCCGCCGCAACCTCCGCACACGCAACATCAAGATGCTCGTTCTCGATGAAGCCGACGAGCTCCTCAACCGAGGTTTCCGCGAGCAAATCTACGATGTCTACCGCTACCTCCCACCTGCCACCCAAGTTGTTGTCGTTTCAGCCACCCTCCCATACGATGTGCTCGAGATGACAACTAAATTCATGACGGACCCCGTGCGCATTCTGGTTAAGCGCGACGAATTGACGCTAGAGGGCCTCAAGCAATACTTCATCGCTATCGAGAAGGAGGAGTGGAAATTCGACACCCTGTGCGATCTCTACGACACACTCACCATCACACAAGCAGTCATCTTCTGCAACACGCGCCGCAAGGTTGACTGGTTGACGGACAAGATGCGCGACGCCAACTTCACTGTATCCTCCATGCACGGAGAGATGCCGCAGAAGGAGCGAGACAGCATTATGGCCGACTTCCGTCAGGCCAACTCTCGCGTGCTCATCTCGACCGATGTGTGGGCGCGTGGCATTGACGTGCAACAAGTGTCGCTCGTCATCAACTACGATCTACCATCGAACCGTGAGAACTACATCCACAGGATTGGTCGAAGTGGACGATTCGGACGCAAGGGTGTAGCCATCAACTTTGTCACTCAAGATGACGTTCGCATCCTCCGTGACATTGAGTGTAAGTACTATTCAGCTTTTTCTTCAGACATCCGCTAATCTTTGTAGTGTACTACTCTACCCAGATCGACGAAATGCCCATGAACGTTGCGGACCTCCTCGCGTAGATTCTCGAGCGAAACGTAGATACATTGCATGCGATTGAATATAAGGCACAGCAGAGATTCACGCTCACCGTACTGAGGTCGCAGAGACTCTCATTCAAGGGACACGCCCGCTTCGGCGGCGAATTGGAAGTGGAGGAAGGGGCTCTTTAGCCGAACAGTAAGCCTACCTCTGTCGCAAGGCTTCTGTCATCTGGCTAACTTTGCGACTCTGACCAGAACGAAATTGTAATCAATACCCATAACGTACTCACAATTTATGAGACCGATGACCCGCCGATAAACTGTGGTGGCGGTATCTCCAAGATCAGATCTGGTTCCGATCATCGCTATCGTGATACAATGATTGGCAGTTCGCGAAATATTCATGACACACGGTTCCGATCACATACTCTTTCAAATCCAACAAATGCTCTTCTGCCATGTCACGACATAGCCGCAATTCTACGAGGAAGGCAATACGTTGAGTTCAACGCCCTTGGCAGCTGGGCCCGCAATCGCAATACAAGATTTCGCTATCCTAGCGGAAGTAATTGAAGATGGCCTCACTCTGTTCTTGAGCTACCCCACGGGTCCAGTGGTTTGTTTCCGCTATAGTGTGATTCGCAGCACATCCTCGTGCGTATGCTTATCATCAATAGGTCTTCTCTTTTTCTAGTAGCAGACTCAATCGCCTGGCTGATGCGGTAGCGCACCCTCTGAGGTAACAATCAATACGATTGAGGTTGTAGCGCTATCCCTCTCCATGCAATATGTTATTCCCCACCGTTGATGCGATACCACGCGAGCTAGCTTTTCCAGCTGCAGTGTCTCAATGCTTTTGCTCAAAGTACAGTGGGGAAGCGGTCGGCTTGTTGGCACAGTGACATTATGCCGCGTATGTTTACCGATAACGTAAGCAATATCACCTGCCACCGAACGCATTGGAGCGAAATATGCAGAGTGGTAGAGACCCTTGGGGCGAATTCGAGGGTGAAGTGTGGCTCAGGGTCCGATTGCGCGAACATGATTCTTCCAAATTGCCCATGCAGAAATGTTGAGAGTGCGATGTAGCGGAGAAAATTGAGACCGGCGAAAACTATGATCAATCATTCTTGAGTTGGTATATCAGGTCGGAGACAATACTTGAATGTGTACCATGCGAGTACGCGATCATGCTCGATAGAGTGTCACGACCTACCATCCACACGTATGGCACTTTTGTTCACTTGTAATGTCTATCTCATCTCCGTCATCGGCTTTCCCTCAGTCGCATCATAGTGCCATGGAACGGAGAGTACCAGCTTCAGGTGCTTCACCGGGGTTGGACCCTGCCTCATCACCCTCTCCGCTTCTCCGAGGGCGGAACCAAACATTGCCGCATTTTGAAGAGTCTCCGATGCCTACGATCTCTCTCATTTGAGGGGTACCTTTTCGTATGGGATGGTTGAGTGTTGCGGAAATTTTGAGGGGCTACATTGCGTCCCATCGTAGTACCAGTGGATGGAGTGGATGGCAACCAAAATACCAAACCACACACAAACACACGAACACACTTGAGATCAGTCCCGAAGAATGAGGAAATGCAGGGTGAGAGTATAAACACGGCATATCCCCTCTTAGAGTCACTCATCCGCAAAAGCTTCGACAGCAATCTACCATCTTCGACTTCGATAAAAGAAGCTCAAAGTACGATCTCTGCTCTTCTTACATCCTCTTCATCACTTCAAGCAAAAACAACTAACACATCCCCAGTCACTACCAACAAAACGTACTACCTCCCCTTTCTACCACTCCACCACTCCACCTAACACTCCCTTCCCAGCAACCCAACCCGACCACAACAATGCAATTCACAACCATCCTCGGCGCCACCATGGCCCTCTTCGCAGGCGTTACCTTCGGCACCATGGAAACCACCATGTTTATCGAGCCTAAGGTAACCCATCGCGTCCAGACCGTCACCGTTACCGCTCGTGCCGTTACCGTTACCGCTGCTCCCTACGCCGCATAGAGAGGTCTACCTCCTGGTACCTGTCCGTAGTATCTCGGTTGCATGGAGATGATTGTGGTTACGCTATGAAAGGCTGGTCAGAGGTCCTACGGCGAGTTTTTCTTGTGGGTAGATGTGTCTGACTGGTTGAGATGAGGACGCTGAAAGGTCCGGGAAAAGTAGATGGGAGATATGATTCAATTCCATGTCTTACTGTCTGATCCTTGTTTTTCTACTTGCTGTGTGGGGTGTGGCATATGACGACGACATCCTCATGATTACACTAGGTGTACCATCAGTTTTCGTGGCGATTGTGATACTGGTGCAGAAGAGTCTTTTCGGAACGAGGTGGAAATGGTTCACATATTATCATTATGTTATAGACACAGCTAACCGACATCCATCCCACACACCACCATTTCAAGCCGTCGTATCGTCACCAAAAGCTAGTTGCATTCTCCGTGCGTGCGCAGCTCTTCGCTTAGCCTGCGCTGACATAGGTTTCTTCGGCCCATCTCCGTTTTGACTTCCATTGGAAGGCGCTGGGACATCTTCTGGCTGCACTGGAACAGACGGAACGGGAGGAGGTATCTCTACCTGAACTGGGACTGATGAGGTAGTGGGTGGTACCTCCACGCGCAACTCTTGTTTCGGTGTGGGAATTGGTTGCTCGTGCAATACGGGTGGTGAAAGTATGGCTTGTTGCGTGTCCGTTATCGGTTGCGCCGCTTCTGTTGTGGAAGCCTGTCGCACCAAGTCTTCCGCCATCGTCTTGACGACTTTGTGGCTACGAAGTCGCTGCTGAAGGACGGAGAGCACGACGTCGTCATCGTCTAGCTCGACTGGCGTCTCTGTTGGGCTGGCAAGTATGGGCTGCGAGGTTTCTGGAGTAATGATCTGGGGCGGCGGTGGTGGAGGATAAGACGGTGCAGTTACCGGAAGGGTAGCCGCCTCCTCTTCCGTACCAGGTGTTGTTGTGGTTTCAGCGACGGTAGTAATTGTGGGTGACGGTGTTGCGTTGAATGATCTGCTGCTTGACGTTTGCGACAACCTTTTAGACATGCGCTGTGACGGCCGCTGGCTACTTGGGCGACGAACTGGCTCGTCGTCGGTGAAAGTGGTAACGTGGACAAGAGCACTGGGCGATCGTAGAGTGTGTATGGATGTTGCATATTGAGACATAGGCGACGATGTACGCTCCACAGAGGCAAAGCTGTTTCGTTGCAGGCTCGAGTCGTCCTCATTCATCGACGGCGCATCCGCATCCCCCTTCTTATGTTGTGGTGATTGCGCAAGACTTTCGCTACTTGTAGGAAGCTGATGGGGCGATGGTTGAGCTGCAGTAGTCTTGGTCGCGATGTTAGATAGATCATCTGTCATCGCATTCGTCATAGACGTCGTCTCGGGGACAGCAGGCAACATATGACCGGTTGTTGGGGTCGACGTCACCGAAATCGATGGAATAGAAATTATTGGAGTGTTTGGCCATTCTCTACTCGGCAGCCTCTCACTCGCCGCACTAGGCATCACATAGTCCGCCAGATCATCGATAAGTGACGGCTGGCTCTTGAGATGAGGGAGCTCCGATGGCAAAGACCTGTGCTTTTCGCTATGCCTTTGGATGTCTATCGACGTTGCTCGATACCGTCTCGCTACCATGGGGACGCTGACCGTAGCTTGTGTGGACAGAGTGGAGTCGGTGCGCTCGATTGTTGCATCGCCATTATTCGACGTGGAAGGAGCGACATCGATGGAGGCGCGAGGTCTTGGTTCCCGAAGGACGGATTGTCGGGAGTAGTCTGAGCGTGCTCGTGGTCGTCTGGACAGTGTCGAGCTTTCAGTATTGAATTCGCGGGATACCTGAGGGCTCAAGAAGGTCTGTGAGTTTTGCCTCTCCTCGATGTCCAAGTCAGCCGGCGTACTACCGGCCAGCTCTACAGGCACCGAATTGACACTACCGGCTAAAGGTTGTTAGTTGGACTGAACTTTTGCCTATCGTGGATGATACTCACTTTCGACGTCGTCTTTTTCGGCTTCAGACGCCAGTGTGATATTTGATGCGGAGACATTCGCCTGATTCGTTCGGTATTTCTGCCTTGAATAAGGCCCACGTAGCGCGTCTTTCTCATCATGAGGTACCCAAGGTCGTACCGGAGCCTCGAAAATGGGTGTTTCTGCGATAGCACCAGGCTTCCCACAAAGTTCTGCCGTTTGCATGACGTAGATAGCACCGGTCAACTGAGCGTGGCACTGATCTAATAGCTGCTTCTTTTTCAGAATTTTTTTCTGGTTTCTTAGACCCCACTCAAGCTTGAGCTTCGATGCAGCTGTGCCGCCATCTCCATCGTGGCCCCAGGCTTTGTCCATATCCATGCCGATCTCATTAAGAGCACGCCGCACCTCGAGCAAAGAAGTCTCGATCCATCTCCGCTTATTTGGATAAGCATCCAGGAAATTCGAAACCGCAGACGAGATGAAAAGGCGCGTCGCCTCATCGATATCTTGTCGCACTTGTTGGATGATGCTCACGAAAGCGATGGTATCCGCAGAAGCCTTCTCAGTGGTGAGGACATAGTCCGCAAAGTAGTAGGTAGTCGGTATCGCTGGAAAGTCGCATGAGATGTCATCGGGCGTTTCCCTTGGAATAGCAATTGATGGCCGCCGGTCTTCAGAGTTCCTGGGCTCCTGCTTTGGCCGCCCGATCTTGCGTTGGAAGTACTTCAGCCTCGTTCCTTCGGTCTCCGTAGACGCTGGCGTGGGGAGGTCAGCCCGATGCAGTGTTTCCGGTAGGAACAAGCCAGCAGTGGGCAACATCGAAGTCAAGGTTGGCATGAGCGTCCTTCGTATTACTTCAAGCTGATTGTACTATTGCTGTACAGAGTCTGGAAGTAGCTGGTAGCGCGCATGGGTTTAGCAATGGTAGCAGGCGACATGCGCCAGGTACACCAAGACAAACCCCGCAGATAATGACGCAGTACTTGCTCGAAATAGGCACAGCTGGTGCGGATGTGCTGGTGTTCCAGTTTCGTGTGTCGGCCTGTCCGATGGAAGTATTTGCTAACAGCTACACATGGGATAGCTATCAGTCGATCACGGCACCGATGTAGCGGTAAAGTGTTGGTTGGGGGCGCAGAACAACAACTCAGCCGCGGGCACCGTACCGCAGAGTCATGCAGCGTTGTCGTCTCACGCCGCACAGCATAATCATGCCAATGTGCATGGGACATCCCGCCGGATTTGGTATAAATTACTTATAAGGTACTGGTCTTCGATCCAAACCTCGCTATTGGGCTACGCCGCAAGGATGCTGATTGCATGGACTACGCCCCAATGGGGGCCAAAACACATTCCATATTGGCCCCCATAAGATGCGGGTTCTGAAGAGGGAAGCGCAACCGAGATCAGGCTAGGACCTGGTCTAGCCGATTGGCCGTTGCGCGTAAGCCTTCGCATCTCGAACATGATGAATGACCCTCTTGATCGCAGGTGCAAGCGTCGTAGCGTATCGCCTTCTCCTGTTCGGCGACGAAGTGAAGATGTAAGCACCATTGTAAGCTTGAATTCATTCGATAGCGATGTGGCCATCACTGTGACAGCGGAAGACCTAGAGGCCTCCGCAACATGAAACTTCTTCAAGGTGGCACAGGTTCTACCTGTGAGCACAGTCGTACGCGAGGCTCTCCTTGCATGAGCCATCGACTCATGCATCCAACCGTCTCACCACAGCCTCACTGAAAGGCCGCGGCGGACTAACTGGATGGCCAGCCTCGTCCGCTACTTGCACAAGAGCGGGGAAAATGCACAGGTCCCCTGACGTGACACCTTCTTCCTCCTGCCACTCAAATTCCCATGCGCTAGGCTGGGAAAACAGCGTGAAAGCAAAGAGCGCAGCCCGCTTCAGCACTTCCTCAAGATTTCGCTTGCGCTCTCCGTTGTTCATGCGAGAGTCCGCGTATGGCTGCAGAACGTTGTCTAATGTTGCAAGCGTTGCCTGTATGCTTGCATGTCGACTGTCGGAAGGACCGAAGGGATTGCGAATGTAGCTAGCCTGCATCAACTCCGCAGTCATGACCCGCCAGCGCGCCATCAATGATGTTTGAGCTGTACGAAAGTCAGTACTTCTATACTAAGAGACGAAGGAACTCGTGCCGCATACCTTGAAAGCCACGATCTCCAGTTGCGACGGCTTGGTAACATTGCGCGACTTCGGACGGCAAGAGGCTCTTTGAGGGATCTTTGGAGGGTTGAAGTTTCGATACGATCACCCAGGCGATGATAAACCTTAGCGCAATCTCTCGAGTTGCAGCATTTCCAATCAATGTAGTGAGCGTTCCTACGGAGACTGGTAGACCTGGTCCTAGTGCCTGTAGGTCCTCATAATCGATGAGACCAGGGTTGACACGGCTGGTGTGGTAGTAACTCTGGACGTGATTCTTGATGGCATTGCTGATTTTCGAAACATCGCCAGAGATGGCTTTGTCTTCCAAAGGCTGAGGAAGTCCACCACCCAAAGCAGCTCCGGATGATAGTTTTCCGGCTAACGGTATAGTGTTGGCGGAGAACCCTTTCTCCTGCGAAGCTAACGCATACGTATCTGGTTGAGGATAATGATTCTTTGGCTGTCTTCTTTTGCGCCAGCAGAACCACAGGATGAATCCAGCGAGCAAGGCACCGGCAACAAGGCAGCCAACTGCAATACCAGCGATTGCACCCGTCCCAAGTCCCGAGTCAGCGGTTGCTGGCAGCGAAGCTGTTGTGGGAGTTGGGCCGGTAGTTTTGTTCGATGTCGATGTAGGAACCGACACGCGTGCAGTATTAGACGTGGTTGCCGCATCAGTGGAGGGGTCTGGTGTGGGATCTGGGGTGGGGACGGCTGGTGTAGCAGGAGCTACGAATTGAATCTGATTCGGGTTCAAGTGCGCTGACAGAACAAAACCATCGACGGTGATCGGAGGTGCATTGGGAGCCACCACTTGTCTGTTGTACGAGAAGCCCGATGCAGCGTATGGCATCAATACCGTCACGGTTACTATAGGCTTTCCATCGATAGAGAGGATGCTTTCGTATGTGCCGGTTTGAGGATTCTGAACAGTTGCTGGTGGTTCTGTCACTGGAAGGATGATGAAAGGCACCGAGGTCGACATTGTAGCTGTGTTCGTAGGCGGTTCGGAAGTCTTCGCGCTTGTGAGGTTCGTATTTGCAGCTGACATAGTCGTGACTTACATCAGTAGGAAAATGTGAGGGCTGAGATATTCCAGAGAGGTAAGGAGCGTGCAAGGCAGTTGAATGTACAAGTGGCAGAGCGGCTAGGATGTGAGCGCACGCCCTATAGACAGTTTTAGTAACCTGCCACCGATACGTGCCTAACGCGCCTCCAGATCAAACTCACTAATCCCGATCATCTCTTGTCACTTGATGGGTCATTCCAGTAGCTTCGCACGGCGCGACTACATACTATACATCCTTGTTATTCATAGCGTAGCAGACTGTACGGTGCAGCGCGCTGATTGTGGCCCCCAAGGCGCACTCGGCATGCATAAGGTGCGTATTCTTGGGTCCAAGATGCATGGGGGCTGAAATGGCGCGTGTTGTGATCGGTCAAAAAGATGCTGTGCCGCAAGGCTGAGACATAGGGGCCGCCTCAAGGCACCTGCATCGTCTCTGCATCTTATAGATACGTGATCAGGCGGGAAGGCAACAACAAAGACCGCGTCACCGACAACGAGACAAGATGGAGCGAAACGAGCGACCGCATATGATTGTTGGTGTAGACCTTGGGATGACTTGTAAGTTCTGGCGAGGCTGAGGAATGACACGTGGGAAGGCGATTCCCAATTTGGATTAGTGTGCTGCGTTGGATCACGTGCTCTTCATCACACCAGCCCAAGGCTGATACATCTCTCCAGGTACCGGCGTGGCATATGTGAACCTCTCCATAGGCAGCGAAACTGTCCGCTGGGTGCAGAAGTGGCCTGGACGATTCCAGGCGAACGAGAACAAAGTTCCAACGGTAGTCGTCTACCCAATTGGCTCCAAGGATCCCTCATCATGGGGCTTTCTCTCGGAGACCGCTGCAGAGACCGCGGCCGACGACAAGGAGTACAAGGAGTGGTTCAAGACATGTCTCGATCCAGAGAAGCTCCGCCGAAAGCAGATGGAAGACCCCGAAGGCGCACCCGAAAACCTACAAGAGGTTGAGAAGTGGTATGGCGACTATCTGCGAAAGATGTACGAGTACTTGTCGTTCAAGCTTGGCGGAGAGCTTTCTGGCATTGGCTGGGAAGAGGCTAGAATTGAGTTCATCTTCAGCGTGCCGACCACATGGGCTCCGATGCCAACAGTGGAGAACTTCAAACGGCTGGTGAAAGAGGCGGGCTATGGGACGCATCCGCACCACGAAGTGGCGATAGGTCTTACGGAAGCCGAAGCCGCTGCGGTACATGTGTCCACCGAAGCACCGGGCATATTCCGCGAGAACGACGTCTTACTAGTCTGTGACGCCGGAGGTGGGACAACCGATCTTAGCGTGCTGAAAGTCACTGGCACGGTCAACCAGGCTATCGATCTTCAACAGATGGACGTTGTGTTTGGAGAGACCATCGGTTCTGCTGCTATCGATTACGAGTTTGAGAGGCTGGTGATGCACCGGTTGACGCTCGCACATAGCACAAATCCTCTACCGGTCGACCCTGCGGATGCCGGGTGGGAGATGATGAAAAGTCGAGACTTCCAAGCCGTGAAATGTGAGTACGGTGCTCCAGACGACACGCCATTGTTCAGTATAGGTATTCCGCGCGTCCCGCAAACCTACAGCAACTCGGATCCGGAAGTTCGAATTCGCAACGGTGAGATGACCTTTGAACGGCAAGATCTGCAGCGCTTGTTCGATAAACAGATCGCGAAATTATTCAAGCTCATCGACACGCAGCTACAATCGCTGTTCCAGAAGTTCCCCAGAGAGCATGTAGCGCATCTTGTTCTCAGTGGTGGGTTGGGCAATAGCGCATATGTGCAGTCGCAGCTCCGAAAGTACTATGCGCGCACCTCCTTCCCGAATGCCGAGTCGATCTCCGTGAGCATAGCGCCTGACCCTCAACTCGCTGTGTGCAAGGGTCTCGTCAGCGATCGTATGCGAAAGATCCTGACATCACGATCGGTCCTCGGATGGCGTTGTTGTCGAGCGTCGTATGGCACCGTGTGCAAGATTGCGTATGACAAGAAGAACCCCGAGCATCAAGGGAAGGAACTTGTTCGAGACCCGCTGAACAACAAGCTGTACATCACGCAATCGATAGCGTGGTTCGTCAAGAAGGGCGCGCCAGTAAGCGTGGACAAACCGATCGAGCACAACTTCATCAAGAAGGTCGACCCGGGCGATCCAAGAAGGGCATTTCCGACGACTGTCATCGAGAGTGACTTGGATGCGGCGATACTGCCGGATCAAATGAACCAATGTATGTGTGCAAAAGCTCGGTCGCTCCACTCATACCCGTGAACAGCTTTCTGACAGCTCGCAGACACGCGCATCCTTTGCGAGATAAACTCAGACCTCTCTGCAGCAGATGAGAAGAAGTTCCAAGAGAAGAACAAGCACTTCTGGTCGTTGCAGAAGCACTATCTGCGCATCGAGTACTCGGTACGCGTCTTGATCGGGCCCGCAGACATCCGCTTCGAGCTGTGGTTTGACGACCAGAAACTTAGTCGCGATGAGTCGATTAGGGTGGAATGGATGCCTGCGCAGATGCCGCAAACGTCTCAAATCGCCGAGATGTCCGGGGCGGAGAGAGAGGCTGTTGAGATGTCCAACACGCCGCCCACGCCCATAGGCGCTGCGCCCCCAAGTGGCGCATTCAAGACTGATCCAAATGCGAAAGCCATAAGGACAGGTGCTTTCGCGGTCGTCAATAAGAGGGCTACTATTGAGATGGGCAAGAAGCCAAGAGGAGTGGGTGGGCTATTTGGGAAGAGCTCTTTCTTTGGACGCGCTGCGTAGGATGACGCCCTGGAGCTCTGGCCGCGATGGCGCGAAAATGACGCGGTGCGCATCGGCGCGGAAGGCAGCTTCCGATAGCTTCGTAGCTCACAGCACTAACTACTACCTTCAACCTACGTCCTCCTTCTCAAGTACATGATGCTAGGCTCTCTCGTTTGACTGGTCGCTATGTTGCGAACAGGTGAGGAGCCACTCAGCTCTAAGCCGGCCATCGCCCCGGTCACTTGCCTGTCTTGTGTTAACGTTACACCCATTGCGCTTTCAGCCCGTCAGCCTCGTCAGCCTTGACTGCAGGCAACGAGGTCACCGTCTACTTATAAGTATGGCGCACAACAGATCTGATCATCGATCAAGAATCCTCGGTTTGCTATCTTTCTGGTCATCATAACTAATATCATGCGCTACCTCGCGTTCCTTGGTAAGAGGCCTGTAATCACGGTTCTGATCACAACTGACGTAGTCGAAGCCACCGCATGCGGTCTGATCGCATCTATCGCAGCATTCGACATCTCGCCGCAAGAGGTACTAGACTCGAATACGCCCAAATTCTTGGATGAAGCAATCGATCCCTGCTCGTTGGCCGACTCCCCAAAAGCAAATGCGAGCGTTCAGCTTAGCAGTTGGTTAGAATGCGCTGTCAATGGTACGTATAGAAGACAATATGCTTAGGGCCTCATCATACTGATACAAGAACAGGGTTCTACCCATACCCTGCGAACACAAACTGGCCCAACGGCCATGCGAAATCATTCTCGAAAGACATCAAGTTCACCTTCAATGACACGCATTACGACTTCGATGGCTCACGGCGACTCTATACAATCTTCAATGCGACACTGGGCATGGCCTTTGCGCCTTTCAAGCATGGCCCCATCAACACCCTTGGTGTGCCCAACATGAATGGCGATAAAGGTGGCTTCGTGTACATGATCGGGTGGGCCGGTGGTTTCCAGACCCGCGTCAAACGCGACTTGTACTTCACAAACGCAGCATTCGCGGTAGTCAAAGAGGAGGACGGAGAAAGGAAGATTGTTGAGTTTCGAGAGAGCGGCAACATTCCCAACACAGCACCACTGCCAGAGCCTGTCCAGTGGGGATGCTCCTTCGAGTAGCACACTCAGCGGCACCCATTGAAGGCTTCCAGCAAGGAGCCTGCACATGGCATCTGGCAGAGCTGCTATTTCCTTGACGACAACACGGCATCCTCGCACCTGCGCATCTTTCGCGATGCCCCTATCCGATATAACCCCTCCTCACCTCCGCCATCTGTTTCTGCAGACCATCCATCTTCTTGATTAATCGATTGAAAAACTCGTTTCTGTTCTCTTTCTCTGTGTCACCTCTGCCGTTGTTGATCCAGTCACAGATCCGTTCATCGTCTAGCAACTCGCTTTTCCGCTCCATGACCTCCAGGTTTGCCTCCATTTTCTCGGTGTGTGAGCGGATCAGATCAACACAGTCTTGCTGCTTTGTGACTGACTCAATAGCTGCAAATTCTTCGTCTAACTGCTTGAGCAAGTAAAGACTTGTCAATACGCGGTCGGCTCGATCCTCGAGGTCCATTAATATGGATGTCAGGTCTCTCAGTTGGCGGTCTTGAGGGTTATGGGCGTCGCTCATTGTGCTGACCTTTGCCGCTGTGGTTTTGAACATGTTTCGCATATCTTGTCTTGCTGACCTGCTTTTGTAAACCAGGGCGTGAAGGAAGAAGCTGGTTTAGACATCATGGGTGGATAATCACATATTCGAATATGTGAGTCGCGGGGTATCATTGTAGGATGACAATCACTTTTAGTCGTACTCTGTTCATTAATCAACAGCTAGGCTACTGACATTCCATACTGTCAGTTTCACATCGTCTCGAACTTGGTTTACAGCTCAAACCTTGACACCTGGAGTGCAATGCAGCGTCTAGGGACACAACGACCAGTCGAAATCTTCCTCCTCGAATCCGTACCTCACATCAGCCCTGACCTCTTTCACCTTCCCCTCGATCATCTCCAAACTCTCTTCTAAATCCTGCTTGTCCTCCTTGGCGATCTCCAATGCGCGATGCGGTAACTTCCCACCGACCACATAAGTGCCTGCGATATCCGTGATATCGATGCTGTTCACGAGCTTCCGATATTGCTCCACATCCTGCTCCAGCATTTCCAGTTCCGCTTTGATGGAGGCCACGGCACCAGCGCGGTCGGTGGCGAGAATGTCGGACTTCGCTTCGTGATGCAAGTGTGCGATTTTTGACCAGCGGTTTATGATCTTGTCGTAATGCGAGGGAAGGATTTCCCAAAATGTGGTAGAGAGAAGTGTTGCCCGAGGTGTTGGGTGTGACGTTGACATGACGGCGGAGATGAGTTTGATGCCCTATTTCGGGTGGACGCGCAAGCCGTGGTTTTGTAGAGGCATGCATCGTCTCGGGATGACGGCGCCTCAACAGTAGATAAGACTTCACAACAACAACAGCGACGTGTTTGCTTTTTGTTGAAGGCGGTGTACGCGAGGATTCTGTAAGGGACGGTGTCCATGCTTCTGTTCTTTGTCGGGTCATTTTGATGTTGGCCGTGGCGCGCCTTGACTCAATGCCGGCTCGTCACGTCTTCTGGGTCACAGCTTGGCTGTGACTGTTTGCGCACAGGACATTACGATACAGTCATAGTCTCCTACAAAACCATCACGGGAGTTTGGCAACTCCTTCACGTACTATCGAAGATCTAAAAGTACATGATCACAATGACGAAAAGAAACTACGATACCTACGATGCATTCTTCACGTTCGAATTACTCGAAGATGCCCTTTCTAATCGCGGTAATCCCGGGGAAAAGATAGTCACCACGCTCGAGGCTATTAAGGAGGACATGAGGATAGCATCAAAATTGCCGAGCGCAGTCGCTGCTAAGCCTGTCACCAGCAGTACGTCTAGTACGATAATGAAATTGTGTAATACTGATCGTGCCATCAGTCGAGCTCGTTCAACGAACTAGTGCCACGAAGCTCATCAAGCAGTTAGATAGATCCTTCACATATCAGAGCATTGGCATATATCTTGGTACCATTGTGCGCATCAATGACGATCCAGGCATCGACGAAAAAGTAACCGGTAATTACGACATCTTGTGCGAGTGCGAAATTGGCGAAAGGACGCGAAGCAGAAGGAACCTCGACGCAAGAATGCTTCGAAACATTCACGGAGCCATCAGCAGAGCCAAAGCAGCAGTCGCAGATTTCGATGAAGACCCGTCGGGATGGATCTTACGGGAGGATATCCACCTATTGCGGCAGCACTTGAAGTATGACAAAGGCCAGGAGGAGAACGATCGGATTGAGTTGCAAGAGGCCTGGGCAAGGGCAAGAACAGCGCAGGAGGCCTTGAGTGGCCTAGAGAAGATGTTTGGCGACTTGTTTGCAGATGAGTGGAAGCTCTTGGACACACAGCTAGTTAGTTGTGTGTGAACTGATATAGGCCATTTAACATACATGGCTGGATTTTCATAATTAAAGTTCCAGCTCTATCGGTCCTGAGTCTTGCTATAGAGCGTGTGCAGTTGCTATATCCGTGTCGTATTCACAGAGCCACTCATAGCCATATCGAGAGATCGCTCACTCGGAATAATCGCGCACGCCTGGTAGTAAGCGTGACCGTGGAGGGCTATAAGTTCTACATTCTTGCAGGTGATCTGGTTCGTTACTCGCAACATGTTCAAAAGGAAGTCCAGAAGGCGTTCTGCGAAGCTCAAGAGATTGTTGGAGGAGTTGGAGGGTTTCTTTGGGAGGTTGCGCGAAGAAGACAAAACTTTGGAGAGGGCCTCTACGCGCTAGCTTGCCCCAAGTACCTCAGCAGCTGGCTTTTACGGGCAAGAATTTGTGGATACATTTGCTGTACTAATATGCTATGTTGTCAAAAGGCGAAGCATGCACCGGAAGTAACGACGTAGCGGCGAGCTAGATGTGAAGTAAGCCTTGTCACGCTCTTGCAACATCACATACGCATACAACAAAAAGAATTGCGCACGTCTCGACAGCCCTACCTAAAATCTAGTACTCTGTTACCTACCACAAGCCAATGCATACCTGTATCAGCACCTTGACTTAATCATGAACACAAAACACTACGCTCGCCAACCGCGCAAAGAGCCTACTTCAGACTTTGAAGATCTAGTCTACAAAATCAGCGAGATAAAGGAAAAGACACCTCGCTGTCTCGAGGAAGTCAACTCGCTCTGTCACCGCTTTGTGGAAGCAACGCCGGGCACAGCAGAAGAACACGAGTCAGTTGAGCGAGTGCGGGAGATAGTCGCGGATATGGAGAGGCGGTATCAGGAGATAGATGCTCATTACGGCTGGGTATTAGCGTCAGATCGCGAACTTAGGGACGAGGTACTTTGTTTGTACTTTGGAAAAAAGTTAGACGGCAAGGTTTGGTTGAAGAGATCTATCAGGATGCTCAAGAAGACCCGTCGTATGCTAGAGATGAGCCAGCAGCGCGTCTTTTGATGGACAACCCCATACATCGCACGCGCATGACCTAATTCCGAAGCTCAACCTAGAAGTACTTTCCCGAAGTCATACCCAGCAAGCTCCAAAGCGCAACCACACCTTGATACGTCGCACGCATTCTAGCAGACCCTGGAGACCCTTCCTTCGCACATACCACACCGTCGATAATTGCCATCCATCCAATGCAAGCAAGTAGCGTGTCCATGGCTTCCAAATGGCCCCCGAGGTAAATTCCCCAGATCGCCATACCAATAGTGGTAACGCGCGAACCTTCGATCTTGATCAGAGGCCACGCTGCCTTCGAAGATGCGATGCTCTCGGAGAGACCGTATGTCATGATAGCTTGTTCGGGCCCATGAGTAAAAGACATCAGCCCGCCGACTGTCCAGATGCTGGCGAGAAGGAGAGGTGGGACGTGCCTGGGTACGAAATGCTCGAACATGATTGATAGCGATGTCAGAAGCTGGCAGGCGAGCCGATATGTATACGAACAGATTTCTGAATAGGGTAGGATTCTCTCGATTTCTCTGATATAGCGCGTTCGTGTAAAGGCAAAGGGGCAATTCAAATGTAGTGTAAGTGCGACGCTCGAGTCGAAAGTGACAGGAACAAGTTCGTGACAGTGGCTTGGTGTGGGGAACGGGGCGCCTGAAGCTCGTGATGTGTCCAGCGCAGGGCGTAATTGTGCTGTTAAATATAGACAACCAGAGTCTAAGTACAGGGAAAGGCCGACGGCGAGCCAGTAGAGAAATCAGCCTCCACTCGCGATGTATCGAGGTCAATAAAGATATTGTCATAGTGCTGCGACCCAACCGGTGCTGCTTTTCCGGGTCCTTAAGGCTCTCGTTTTCTAGCAGCGATGCCTAATTGGAGGAGACAGGAGCGAGCGCCGATAGAGCACCATCTTCTAGCCCGACACCGCTACGGCGATATGCCATAGCCGTCGTCATGATCCCCTGCGATTGCTGCTCAAGGTTGGCATTGTTGTCTTTCCAATGCGGCAAATCCATAGTATCTCTAAATGCTGATTCCCGCCCCACAGCGTTCGGTTCAGACTCCTTGTCTTCGGAGCAGGCAGGCGTAAAATATGTTGAAGGCGGGACAAGTATGGATTTTGCCAAGATCCAGCAGCTGACTACGAAATGATAGTTCGCGACTCGGAATTCTCCAAGTAAGCTGGATTGGGAAGGCTGCCATGCCAATTGGAAATGCATCTGTACATGGCTGATACCATACGACGCTTCCTGCAAGTCTTGTAACGCCTGGAGGTGAGCTTCTTCCTCGATGAGAGTCATTGCACCAGAGCGTAGCTGAAGTCGTGTTGAAAGACGTAGAAGGTGAACCGCGTCATTATCTGTGACATGGCGAATGAGTTTTCGTTGAGTATCGTTCAGCGTGATGTTCACAGAGTCTTCGAATAGACCCACAAAGTCTATAAATGAGCCCGGAGAGTCTCCTACGTTATCCAAGGAGCCTGCGAAAGAGTCGGTAGACGCTCTATCTCTATGCGGTTCATAAAACCCGGTAATGCCGAACACAGTAATATTGCGCGCCTTCTCGATCGACAAGATGCTGGACATGTGCGATGTCGATCCGTGAAACGGGGTCGTGTATTCATTGCCGTCACCAACACTGAACTCTGCCGCTTGATAGAAGAAGTGAAGCGCCTCTTCTTGAATCTGAGGATGAATGATCACCCATGCTGGAAGGGTCTGGATCTGTTCACAAAGTTCATCGCAGTCTAGATACCGCGCGTTGACAGCGCCAGCGAGGCAAAAGTCGTCCTGATAGTAGATATGCGTTCCTTGCCAAGCGTACTCATAGATCTGATCGCGTAGTTCCCTCGGTAGCATCAAGATCAGGTTGGAACAGTCTTTCAATTGATTCTTTCGAGAGATGTCTTCATCGTGGCGATCCCGTGCGGATACATGGCTGTTGCGCGGTCGTGTCCTTTGGCTGCGAAGCCAGCTAAGTGTGTATACTGATGCCTTAGGTATCGTTCGTGGCGTGCACCTGCGTAACTTCTCCAGTAGCCGATAGGGTAGCGATGTGAGATGATGCCGCGCATGGGGCTGCAGCGGTTCTGGTGGACCTCGAGCCGCCATAGCTTTGCAATATGCGTTCGAAGGGTTATGTTTGCAGTATTCCAAATGGAAGTATTCCCAGCATAGTAGCCACACTTACGATAACTTACTCTGAGTGCAGCCAGGAGAAATCTGGACCTTTGCCGAAGAGCGAGGGCAAGATTGCGCGGCGCTCGCGATCCACAGCTCTACCCATGGAACGTTGAGGGGTGCAAGCAACCATGCCACCAATCGATCTCGGCCCGTTGTAATGGAATTGGTACATTGATGTATGCAGTGCACAAGACCGTCATCGTCCATCTCGAAGGCCGATCTTGCTGCCGATGGACTAAAGTCCGCGGCGTCCGATAACTTTCGACGCGTTGTTGTCGCACGCTGACGAAAGGGTGCGATGAGAGAAAAAATTGGTGCAATGATTGTGTCAAAGCTGGGGATGGATATCTCGCGTGAACGCGTAAACGCCTGTGGCGTCATGACCGTGTTCTAGCGCGTAAGATGACGTCACTGGCCAACAAAGAGGTTTGCAAAGACCAGCTCCATTCCGTTCCAGAAAGCGCACCGGCATGAAGACCCATTCCGAATTACATACAAAGACAGGACCCTGATACCGGCTTTTACATTCCCAAATAATACCCTAGCAGGCACTCAGCCTGCAAGCTCGCAGGCTTCACTCGTCGATCACTCCGCAGTCAGATCCGAAGGTGTCGCAGCACTCCGGATGCTCAGGGGTGCATGCTGTAGTGCGTGTATACAACGAAGCCCTTCCGCACTCGGTCACGATTTTACCAGAACTCGAGAAGCCTTCGTCTTTCACACCTGCCCATCATGTCAGCGCAAGTCGACGCTCAGTTCGGCTTTCCAGACTTACAGTCAGAAGATTCTAGGAAGGGCGCGAATGCAGCCCTGCAGTCAAATGGGCAGTCGGAAACCCCGTCCGGTATCTGGCTCCATCGGAGGCTGAAGACAAATCCAGTTATATCGTCGTATGGCCAATGCCATTCTTTGTCGAGCCGGTTATCAAACTTGTCACATGCAGTGTCAATCCAGCTGGGCAACAATTAGCAATTTGTACTGGGCTAGAGTTTGGGAGATGGCTTACCTTTCAAAGCTGGATCTGGGGTCAAAGGTTTGTGAAGAATCCGGATTCGCGGCGCCTAGCGTTTCTTTATCAAACCTTTGCAAATCGCTTTTGCATTCAGCTTCAAGCACAGGCTCGTCGGCTCGCTTGATGAGCTCTTCGAGCCATTCATATTGCGCATCCATGTATCCTTGTGGTACCTCCCAGACGTAGGGATAGTTGACGATTCCGCATCTGCATCCGAGGTTCTTTACCTATTTACCAACGTGTTAGTCTCGGGGCTACATATTTTCTACAGCTCTAGCTTACCGTGAGACATGTTGGCGTCGAAGGGGGTTTAGAGATTGTTTCTCCGGTTAGAGGGTTTATCACCTCCTTCTGGCCCTGGCAGTTGACGGATGTACAGATGAGGTCCTTGGGACACGCCAAGTCTTCTTCTTTGAAGTCCTTGATGACGTCGTCTTTGCCAACGAATAGTTCCATTAAGGCTTGGCCAGTGAACATAACTGCATGCGCGGCGATGGTAAGACCGAGTGCACTCCTGGCAAGCAGCGAAGGGTCCCAATTCTGATCTGCCTGAGGGGCTGTCGCTGTAGCACTATTCATTTGTCGATACATTCGAACGAAGGCCACGGATTCACCGATATAGATGTTGGGGATCGGAAAGCCGATGGCCTGGCCGGCGGCCGGCTCAATCGGAAAGTTTGCCTGCGCCAATGCCATGAGGTCGTCTGGGCCGGTATCAACAAGACTCTTGGCATGGTGCAGGATGCGTTCAATACATTCCTCAGTAGGGTCAGCACGCTTGAAGCTCTGGCCCTGACAGATCTGCTGTGTTTCTTGAAGACCTGTCATGCCCAGGAAGTCTTCAATGCGCTCAGCTGTGGTTTTCGGAATATGGTAAACGAAATCTCCTGCTTCGTGACCGCCACTGGCAGTAGTGAGTGTTTCAATGCTGATGAAGCTCCTGAAATCGATATTAGCACGATACGAAATGTGGTACAACACATGTAACTAACGTAGCGGTAGTCGTTGCAGGTGGTTGGTACGTCAAAGTGGCCAATGCAGCGCCCCCATCCGAGGCTGTCACAACGGCGATTTCCTGTGCAGCGGCTATCGAATGGATTTGACGGAGGTCCTCTGGACGAAACCTCATCTCTTTTCCTAGATCATGCTTGTAGATAGCGATGGCAAAGCCAATCAAAGCACCTACGCCCCATGCGACAAGAAGTAAGGTACCCGGATCGAAACGTTTGATATGAGTAGAGACATCAGTACTCTGCAGCACAGCGTTCAAAGCGTTTTGGCACTCTTCAACTGGTTTATCGTTGCAGCTTTGCGCCCGCACGGTCTCAACCTGTCCACGTAGCTCCGGACCGAATGCGATAGTGATACCATCGGATGGCCATGCGTCGTAAACCCCGGTAGGATATACCTGAATCTCTGTCCCGCGGGGCTCTGGATTAGTGGCCTGCGATGGGGTGTTAGTGTCGTAAGAAGGAAGGGGAGGCCATGATGTACAGCAGCTGGGAAGTATACGTCCTCAGGACCGAATGTGAACGTCGGTATAGCAACGGCTTCGTCACGACGCGAAGGCGATTTTGTCGTCAGGGAAGCTGCTCCAGTAGGTGTTACCAGCACCCGAGCTGAAGCAGTCGTCAAGCAAAGTGCCAATGCTAGCAAGCTAAGACGAGACATGGCAATAGTGCAGAAGTAGTTCGGTGATGAAGCATTTGGAGCAGTGCTCTAAGCTTATATGCAGATAGTTTGGCTTCGAGAAGATCGCGACGCGAAGTCTAGGGACACATCATGCCATTCCCGTCGCCCCCAATTACACGTTGAGGCCTGCAGAGGCACGGTGGATGAAGGCATCGGCTACGTGCATTTCCACAATGGCACAGCTCTTGGTGCATGATCGAGGCTGTGAAGCGTCCCAAATAGACCCCAACGGAGAATGTCGAGCGTTCATGGGCATATCCTGAATTGGCGATGTCAACTTGAAACGTGAGTTGGTACCCGAAAGGATTCTCCAATGTGCCCAGCGTGGCGAAGTGCAGTATGAAAGCGGTTGGGGCGATGGAGCTTTTGATCCCGTTGTAATAACAAGCAATTTTTGGGGCGGATATGGGGATCTGTTTGCCCAGCAGAAATAGTTTGTTGTTCTCGAGAGGCGAGGTAGCGAACTGTGCCGTACGGAGCGCGTCTAGATTAGCAAAATGCATGCTTGAACCCCGAACTGCGCGGCGCAGAACGCGTGGGGCCAGTCTGACATGCTTCCCACCACAAGATGGTTGGCAATAGAAGGGGTGAATTATGGGGCGACTCAATGATGGCGCTTGTCTGATCCGAGAGCGTCACAGAAAGTTGCGTATATGTAAGAGGGTTGCGCGCAAACTTGGTGGCCACTTCTGCAGCAATCTTCATTCGCGTTTACGATGCCGTCGTTACTACTATCTTGGTTTTTATTCCATGCTCTCATACTAGCCTTCGTCGCTGGCTACAAGATTGACCAATCGTGCGAAGACAAGGGCATTACGCAAGACATTCGTGATGCTATGACTTCGGCTATCGAGAAGGCTGCCGGAGCATACGATACCCTGACATCTCCACTAAGCGACGATGCACTCGAACTTCTGGGTTTCCTGTTCGCGAAAGATGGTGTGAGTCCGGCCGAACTCATGGACAAGGGCAAGTTCGGCAAGACCATAGGGGTTTTGCAAAACATCAATGCAAACATGTGGAAGGAAGTGACTGGTACCGCCGAGGTACTTCCTGAAGACGTGGTAAGAGCAACTAGAATCGCTTTGAAGGGTCTACAAGAGACTGATCATTGATCCAGGTCATCTTTTGCCATTATGATCGCTGGAAACCGGTGGAAGGAGAGAAGGACCTTTATCGAGATTCTAGTATGTGATACGGGGCTACCACGCGACCGTGTACTGATTCTATACAGCAAATGGTGTGCGACTAAAGTTCCGTGAGCAAGCATGTAGAGGTAATACGGTCCTCGACAAGATTGCCCTGGCAGTCACCTTCAACCCGGAAACAGAGGTTGTCTGGAAGAACGGAAGGCCCATCGCCGGTACCGGTATGCAACCTGCCCAGATTCAGCTATGTACTTGGTTCGTCGATTGGATCAAGCAGAAGAAGTTCAAGCTTTCTGGTGACGTTCAAAAGAGAACGAAGATTGGGAGGGCGGTGATCAACGCGGCCGAATGGAGACAATTCGGTCTCAGACAGATTGGTGAGTTGTACAAAGATTCGACTAAAGGCAAAAACTGACGAGACATCATTAGATGCATTTTCACTTCTGGATAAGGTTCTCTTACACGAGATGACGCACGCCCGGGGTGCCTACATCGAATACAAAGATGGCGAAATAGAAGCTGAGGGCCTCATAGATGTTACATCTCCCGAACGCTTGCTCGGTATCTGGAAGTGGCCAGCGTATGGATGGAAGGGAGCAACGGCACTCGCGCGGCAAGGCGATGACCTTGGTGAATACGCCGCACCAGACAACAACGCTGACACTATAGCCCTTTTCGCGAGCGGTAAGTTATTTGAAGCGTGTCCTGGGTATTCGCTGATACGTAATAGGGTGTTCACTGCTCAAGGACCAAAAGAAGATCGATGCCAAAGGACGGATAGTACCGATGCAGGAGGTACCGTCGTGAGTGAAGTGCATGAGTGCGATGCAATCCTGCATTGATCGCAAGTCTGGTGAGAGGTGTTCTCGAGTTGCTCACTGTGGAAGCGTTGCTGGTGTTGTATTGGTAGAACTCCTTGTATTATAGAGGAAAGGTCTTCCTGTCGTACTGCTTTTTGAGCCGCGAAATTCTGAATGGTATGTTTCCAAGCGCATCCACTACTTGCTCAGGCAAATCGACGTTGAGTCCGACTTCGTAGACTTCTGCATGCACCTGCTTCAGGGCCTCGAAGATGAAGATGAGTGACTCAGGTTCGGGCGTACCCGCCTTGACATCATGGAACGCAAACTGGGCCCATATGGTCATCTCGATCCTGAGTAGGCGGAGCTCATCGAGTGTGGCTAACGCACAGCAAGCATCTTCCCAATCAAGGTAGCTTTCTCGCGGAAAGCTGCCTCTGCATGTAATGAAATTCCTCCTCGGTGTTAATATAGTCGTTGAGAGGTTTACCGAGCGTAGCCTTTGCCACATATCTGGGGCTACGAGCCTGCGAAAACTAAGCACTCCTGTGGCGCCTCGGAAGCTAAACTGGTTCGCCGTATACAAGACATTCACAGCTTCACGATACCTGTTGCTTTGATTAGCCTTTGTGGAAATGGCGCAATGAATAGTATACATTAGGCGGCATGTAACGAGGATCGATAAGAGATCGCCATTGGTATAGTATGCGGGACGGTGCATGCGCGCGCTTCCTTCATTCCAGACCCCAAAGCACATATGTTGCCACGTGAGATACATACTGTCCATATCTTCGCAGCGCCAGTGTCCGAGCTTATGGGGCCGTCCCTTCCCAGGGGTAACGTGCAAAAAGTGCAGCAGACGCTGCGGGTCGGCGAGAACCTCTTCGTAGATGAGCAGTCGCAATTCAGGCGACAGCTTGCCGAACAGCATACACTGCTTCTGATCGAGAGGCTCATCTCTCGGTAATTCAGCTCGCGGCATCGACTTCGCGTCTTGGCTTCGTTTGATACTGATTGCCGTCGTCGGTTCGGGCTTTTTCCGCTGCCATTTTCGGAGCAGGAAGGCGCGCATGGCGATCTACGTGGCGACGAATATGGAGATATCGCAATGCACCTCAAAATGGGTCGAGAATGCTGCGCAGTCGCGAAGGATCTGGCTGCAGATTGTAGGAGCTCAAGAGGCCTTGTTTGGGTCGTTGGGCTTTTTACTGTGCCCAGGTGGCTCGGGAACGAGATTGCGGCACAGCAGTGCAGCGGGCGAAGACCGAGGGCCGGCGCTTACATGCACATGCGTGCGGTATTAACGCGGTAACCATAGCGTGGAGTAGATTGTCGCGTCGGTGCGATGTGAACAAATTCCCGTGTTAATGTACACGGATGCGCTGATGAGTTCCAGTGAGGTCTGGGGAGGGACCTTGGGAAGCTCCAAGACACGTGCCGTCGAAAGTAGACTAGTTCATTTTCCAGGACGCGTAGACCCCGGGGGCCCACCATCGTCGCGTTTCTCCCTTCGCCCCCTTCCGATAACCAGCACGCACGCGAGACGCCAATACAAAGACTTCACCAGAACGATCTCGCAATGCAATGGTTGCTTGATCGTTGTCACAACTACTTCATGTCGGCCATCCATGGGTGCTTCAAAAGTTCAGTTGCCGATTTCCTGTCTTCCGGCCGCCATCTGAGCATCGAGCGTATGAAATCGAGAAACAATTCCTTTTCCTCCCCTTCAAGCCCAGAGACTCTTTCCTCGAGTGAGATATTAGGAATAGTTACACTCCTGGAGCCACCCGTCCAGTGTCCTATTGAGCTTAGCAGAGTCTATGTCAGGACAATCTCAATGACTAACCTTGCTCATCGAAGACCTTCTTTGTGATATCATTGCTTTGCGTGTATTCAAGCGGAGGCATTCCAAGGTATGCGACCATTTCGGAAACATGATGTGTCCCTGATGGGTTGCCCTCGGTGTCACGGGCGTCGAACAGATGCTCATCTTCAAACAAGTCCCACACCTAATCAAGGGTAAGTCATTGCGGCTTCTTTATGATAGTGTTGAATACTTACCAACGTGGCGAGGCTCCAAATGTCCACCTTGGAGCCCCACTCCATCTGGAAAATTATCTCTGGTGCACGGTATAGCTCAGGCTGAATAAGGCCGGAGTGGGAATCTCCTATCCGCGCTTCTCCAAAGTCACAGAGAACTGGTCGGCCCCAAAGATCACCCGTAGGATGGGGAAGCTTACGGGAACTGTAAATGGTGCGTGTGTCGTCAATCACTTTGGATGGCGACGGGTTTTCTGCTTCAGCTTTCTCGAAGTTTTCCAGGATAGTGTCATCATTCACAGTCAGCATGATATTCCCAGGATTGATGTCTAACTGGTTAGTTGATTCAATTACGTTGCATTATCTTGCCGTACCTGTATGTACGACCTTAGCCTCGTCGTGTAAGAACGACAGTGCCTTTAGCACGTTGGCTAGCGTGAACTTTAGAAGCGGAACGTTGAGCTTGTGTGCTGGGTTGTAATACTGGAGCTGTCGAATAGTCATGTGCATGGGTGGATGAACAAAGCACAAGTGTTTGCCAGTCGGACCGTCGAGCTCAAATTCGCCATACAGTTCGCGGATATATGCTTGGCCGCGATGCTGTGATTGTATAGAACTGACATGCTCGTAAAAGTCTAGCTCTCGATTGAGCTGTGGGGTCTTTTCGGCATCTCGGGTACAAATCTTGACAGCGACGAAGTCAGCGACGAAGCCAGCGTCTCGTTCTCTGTGCACAGATGATCAGAATTTGAAGGGTGGATGGGGGTGAAGAACGCCAAACATACTGAATATCCCGAATATCCCGACACAGCCAGACCGTGGAGTATGCACCGTAACCAAGTTTGCCTATAACTTTAAAGCTAGAATCGAGAATCTCACCAGGTCGTGCTGGATAAAACTGATCATGGCTATACCACGGAAGGCGCTCCTCCTCGAAGAGCTCGCTGGCATTTATTTTCGTACTCTGGAAGCGGGAAATTCGGGAAATGGGAGAGGGAAATTTGAAGCGACTACATGCGCGTTGACTAAATCTCAGCATGGTGGTGCAGAGACGCCATATCATCGTGGGAAGTTAGTGTGACTGTCCAAAGGCGGCATGTTGGCCGCACTGATGCCTAGCACGGGCAATGACGACCACCCGGTTTCCGCCCACATACTTCCACCACGACCAACGCACAACGAGTCCGCCGCAACCTCGCCTGACTCAATCCCAAAGACCCCGAAGGCGCCTCCGACAGTTCATGTTTAGCCTTAAAGCGGAGATACCGTTTCAGCCCCCAAGCCAAGCGCGGAGCGGAAACGCCAAGGCAGCCTCCCATCACAAGTATAGCCGCATCCCTTACAGACCAAGAGATACGCCGCTGAGAAACAGGCATCACTCAGGCTGCGCGAGGCACGCGTCACTGACTCGTTCGCACGTGCGAGCTTGTCTTTGCCTCAGCCCAGATGTCGGGCCTGTATCCGCGCTCGCCTTGGCTGGGCCGCCACATGTATCTCCAAGACATCAGGATGCGAGGTGCGAAACATGTGTTGACGCGGAGCTGATAAGCTGGCTGTGGAGGTGAATGTGTTTAAAGATGCGGTGAACGTCGTGTAGGGCCTGGAATAGGCAAGCGATCTTCGCACTCTTTTTTACACATTCGAGACGGTTTTCAGTATGGCTGGTGACTCTTCGACTCAGGCGACAGAAGGCTTTTTGCAGTATCATGAGCCGAATAGTGAGTTCTTTACTTTCTTACATGGTTTTGTAATCGCTAATCTTTGACAGTTATCCAAATTCTCGTTCTCGTTTCGTTTTTCTTTTGGCTTTCCTTCGGAGAATGGCTATCCAACCGAGTATTCCGCGCTGGTCTTATAGGTCAGATCATAGTTGGACTGATCTACGGTCTACCTATCGGCGGTGACATGATACCCATCGCATGGCAGGAAGCTTTCATTGCGCTTGGATACATTGGTCTAGTTCTCATCATCTTTGAGGGCGCCCTGGCCGTGCGGTTGGATCTTCTTAAAGCGAACTTTGGCCTGTCTGCCATTGCGGCGACCATCGGTGTCGTCGCTCCTATTGGGCTCACGTACCTGCTTCTATACGTTGGCTTTGGGTACGGAGCGATCGAAACGTTCATCGTTGGGGCTGCGCTCTCGGTCACTTCTCTTGGGACGACATTCGTGGTGCTCGGCAAGAGCTCAAAGGAGATCAGCTTCGCCGACACCAGAGTTGGCACAGTACTAGTCAGCGCGGCTGTATTCGATGATGTGTCTGGTCTAGTGATGGCTAGGTGAGACACAAAGTTCCCTATAACCACAGAGCATCACTAACAGCCCTCAGTGTAATCGGCCAACTCGGCGCCCTCGGAGGCGACGACTCCCCCAACCTAGGCTGGCTCATCGGACGCCCAACACTAGTATCCGGTCTCCTAGCCATCCTCACTCCCGTCCTAAACAAATGGGCAATCGCACCTCTATACCGAAGGTTCATCGAGCCACGCCTCCCCAAGACACGCAAACGCCACGTCGTAAACGTCATCATCATGATCTTCGTTCTATGTGCTTTCCTCAGTATCACAGGCTTCGGCGGCACCTCCGTCCTCTACGGGTCCTTCATGGCCGGCGCATTCCTCACCTACCTCCCTTCCAAACACCCAACCGGTCCCTTCCACCCTCCTTCGCGCGAAGACGCAGAGGAAGCGGAAGCGCGATCTATTGCCGAAGCCACCGAGTACGACGATGCGGGCGAACCGCTCATCTGCCCCACGTTCATGCATACGTTTGAGAAGTACTTCCTCGATGCTGTCAAGTACCTCTTACAGCCTCTCTTCTTCGCATCGATTGGGTTTGCTATCCCCTTCATCGATCTTTGGACTGCAGAGGCGTTCTGGAAAGGCTTTGTCTACACGTTGCTTATGCTTGTCTCTAAAGTCATCGTCGGCCTCGTCATACCTTTCGCTACCATCTTCCGCAGACCGCCAGGGATGTCGATCCGCGAGTGCTTTACCACCACTTTCTGGCCCGCGATGCTCCTCGGTTCAGCAATGGTAGCGCGTGGTGAGATCGGTCTGCTCGTCGTACAAATTGGTCTGAACAACACTCCGTACCTGTCCAAAGAGGCCTTCATCACCGCCGTGTGGGCCATTGTGCTCAACACGATCTTCGGACCTGTGACAGTAGGGCTCATCATCAAGTACAAGGCGCGGGCCATTGCGGATGGCGTGTGGGGTCTGGAGAAGACGGAGCCGAATGGCAGTGGCTGGGACGATGGAGTCTCGAGGGCGCCCACCATCGTCCCGGAGACGATGAGTGTGAAGGAGAGGAGTAAGAGTGTTGCGGTATCGCAGCATAGTAGGATGGTGTCTGATCCGGTGACGGTACCGATCTCGCCTTGATGGAGGCGATGTAGTTTCTTAGCTTTTATAACGAATTTATGATGTCTCTTACTTGCAGATTCTATCCCGTTATGAGTGACAACAAGGTGGACCGCGATCAGGTATTACCATGCGCAAAGTTGCAAAGCCGCATTGTTTTTGGGTGCGACATAGATGTTACAGCGATGTTTCAGGAAAAAATCGATGTAGATTGCTCTGCTGAACAGCGAAGTGGGAACTGTATCTGATAGAGAGGGGTATGCGCAGCTATGTATTCAAAAGTCCCAGAAATAAACAACATGGCAACATCAATCAACAACAAGAACGAGCGGACTTCGCAAAGTCAACAGTCATGCCCAGCCCAAGATTCGCCAAGCACCCATAAATAGATCCACACTCATATACCACGTGCAAACATCCTTCACCCATACGGCAGGTTTAGCTAGACCAAAACCACCCACTCCTCTTCTTCCGCTCTTGGTTCTCTGGCTCGGCTGGCCTTGGCTGGATGTCGTGGAATGCCCTCCAAGGATCGCGCTGCTGGGTTTCGGTCTCTTGGCCGCGCTGGGTATGCACCGTCTCCGAGCTCTCTTCTCGACCATCAGCGAAGCGTTTCTTGAGCACGACTTTGGTTGTAATTGAGCCGTCAAAAGCGACGGTCCGCTCGGTCGTCGTAAGTGTGGAGAGAATCGAAGGCTTGTCCTCCTTCATCCGCTCAGCGACCGCAGACGTTACCGAGATAGGTCCGGGGACAGCGGGTGAGGGTTGCGACACAGCCTCCATACGTTCGTACGCATCCAACTCGGTTTCCGAGTCCTCATCTCTCTCGTGTGCTGCGTCTAGAACAGTGTTGTATGTGTCACGTCTGACTGTGTCGGCGTAGGGGAACCGGTCTTGTTTCGGCGTAGGCGGATCGTCATGTTGGTCTTCGTGATCGTGGCTGTACTCGTAGCTTGGCTCGTCGTTTGTCCCAAGGCTAGGGCAGCTGGGCGTATCGTTGCGGTCCATATGCTCCTCGAGTTGGCGTTGTGTGATCGGGATCTTGCCATGAGTCCAGTACTTGTCGGACGTGTCAGACTCCATGGCGCCAGGACATTCGGGCTCTAGCTTCCCTTGCATCGTCTCCTCCAATTGTTGTTGCGTGATTGGTATCTTCCTTGGTCCCCAAGCCGGTCGGTCGGACCTCATCATACAATGTGAGACTTCGCCTTGCTCTGCTAGCAGGTCTTCGTAGGCTGCCTGCCAAGGTACGCCGGCCTTGTTCATTTCGCGGTTCTGCTCGAGTGCGCGGGGAGAGTACGCGGGGTCGTCGGTCTGCGATGCATCTGCTGGTGGTGGCCACTGCCATGATTTGGACCATGACCAGACGCGAGGCTTGCCGTCTTCAGAGCTAGGTTCATAGTTGTTGAATCTGGCAACTTCCGTCTCGCGGTCGTCCCAGGCTTTATCGTTGAACTCCTCGGCCAGTCTCTTCGCCTCTGCCTGCATCCGCAGCAATCTTTCCAACTGCATCCAATCCCTCGACCTTTCTTCCTCCGAGTTGGCAGATGAACTCCGGCCGTCGTGATCGAATGGCCGAGGAAAGCCCCAATCCCATGACCATCCCCACTCCTGACCCTTCTCGTTGGCTACCTTTTCAACCAGGCTAGCATCGTCGCGTCGCGCGACCTGCTGCTCGTCGCCTCTCCGTACATTGCCAAGTATTTCCATTCTTATGTCGTCAGCCTTGCGGTCGAGCCTCATCAGCTCCTCGCTGTTGCGCAAGACAGCTTGCACATCGCCGGCTCTGAACAGCTCTCTGCCTTCGTGGCGCAGCTCGGCGATGTCGGCTTCAATATCGTGAAGCTTGTCGCATTTTCGTGGATCGGCCTTGCCAAAAAGACACTGCTCACGTGCTTGGTGGGCGTTGTTGTAGTTGGCGATGGTGGCAGGAAGGGTGAAGACGGTGTTGAGCAGCGACGAGACCTGGGAATCGGCGAAGCGGCGGAAGGCGATGAAAGGATTGTCTTCGGGTCGGTTGGGATCGCGTCGGGGATTGTCGCTGTCGTTAGTCATAGTGATAGATAGCAATGTGGATGTTGTGATGGGACTTGGCTGATGGTGGGGAAGCCGGGGTCCGGAGTGATGATGATGCCTGGAGATAGCTGTGGCTGCCTCGGCGATAAGGCCACAAGGCACGCGCCACCCGTTTCGACGCGTCAAGCCATCGCCCCTGCCAGCCAACCGCGCTTCCGTCACTCCATCTCTCCAAAACCGCGCATCGTGACGACGCTCATCGTCGCCCAATGAGTATTTCGCATTTCCAAAATGTTTTCGGCCTCTCTTTCGCTATTCTTACCATCACCAAGCATGCACCGCCATAGGACCCAGACACGCTGAGCCGGCGATTACCTTGCCCAAGAGCTGCCGCGCTTCTTTGGAGCTCAGGAGTCAGTATGAAGATTCAATATTTCCAAACAACTTTCATCTATCTATTATGGCCCAAGATCTGCCTACATGACTCCACTCCACCTACGTATTGCCAGAATTTGTGAGTGTTGCATCGCAATCAAGGCATGATCTTGGCTTTCTTGGAAATCTACGCGGGTTTGGGATCCTCTCGGCAATCTGCAGTAGTCTGACTTCAACACCATCGACAACGCTATCCACAGAACCAAGAGCATCGCCAGCTTTTGCTCGAGACATACGCGTAAGGCCATTACGAAAAAAAGCCGCAGTGGATATTTTCAACCCGGCATTATTCAGCACCGCCTACGATCTGCGCCTTATCGTCTTACCGCCCGCTGGCAGCCAAGGAGCCAAGTGCGCGGCATGCGAAGACAATTGACTTCAAGACCTTGATCGTCCCGGATTAGAGCCGCACTGCCCAAAATCTGGACCTGCCCAGTTCAAGCAGCCATACACAACGCTGCTTTCCACTGCCCCGTGATAGGTCTCCACGCTTTAGCGACGCACTGCGCGTCATCCCGAGCGGATTTGGACGGGCAATCCCCGCCTGTAACTCCTTTCACTCCTGGGCCATACCTACTGCGGCCTTATCACTAGCGATCGAATACCCACGTTTCCTGTTTCTGATCTTCGAGGAATGTGTTTTGACAGCTGTGCCAGCGGAATGGGTACGTCACACAGGATCTGCGACACCAGCAAAGAGGTATAAGTAGCGGAGTAAACACCGCGTCTCGAGAACACAACACTATTTCATCTCGCGGCTTTATCAATATATATCACCAGACGCTTCCCCTTCATCTATACCGATACGACGTATAACACTTGTCCAATCGCTATACAACGAGAACCTAAAGTCCAAGACCTGCTGTTCTCTCTTCTATAAAGCCCGCCCGAACCATTCTCGACATCTGCAACACCACCACTACATCATCGATTCCTCATCTTCAACATGCGTTTCTCCGTCATCATCGCCACCCTCCTCGCTAGCGTTGCCGTCGCTATGCCCGATCCTCTCCCACAAGGCTACTCAGGCCCCTGCTCAAAGGACAACTGCGGTGTCAGCGGCAAGGTGTGTTCAGGCGGCGCGATCTGTGTGGGGTGGCCAAGCACCGATCCCGCCAAGAGGAAGGGATGCACCTGCAGCCGGGGTTAAGCATTTGATGCTAGATTTTTTTGCATTGGCAGGCGTGTGTAAGTATAGTGAGGCTGAAGACGAAGCAACGCTAATGCTCGCCAGATGGCATATCATAGCGAGGTTGACTGGAAGCATGTTGGCTGTAATCTAGAGGGTGTATTATTTATGAATGATGAAGACAGAATTTCGACCAAAAATGCTTACGATCATCTGAGTGCCACACAAATTCCCTGAATTCATGAGAAATTGCAGCCGCACTCGAGCTCGAGATCCGATAACTTATCTCTTCACTGTGCGGTGTTGCCTTGGACTGGGTTCTTCGCGCCTTCCTGGCTTGGCACGCCGGGGCCTCACTTGTGACTGACTACTAGGTACAGCACATGCAGTTCAATGCTGCCAAAAAGCCACCAGCACCCTCTCACCAATCCATGAACCTGCGACCACAACGCATAGCCCAACACTTGGTACCGACAACCAACATCATCAACCATGATGTGGAGCACTCGATTGCCGTTCCGCCCTCCACGTCCCAGACCATTCTTCGACTTACCGTGGGACATCCGAGAACAGATCTATAGTTACATCGAGCTCGATGCGCTCCCGCCGTTGTCAAACGGTACCGAGTACGCTGGCTTTGTTCTCTCGTGCAAGCTCGCCGCCGAGGAGCTATCTCATGTCGCGACCATAAATTATCGCAAATACCTCAAGGAATTCGAACGGCTGTCGAAGCGGCACACAGGCTACGTCAGTATGATTGCTCTACCAGAGCAGGCACCAAGTGGCCAGACAAACTCTTTTGCTCATCTACGCCGAGTCAAGGTGGAAGTCCCTCTACATAGCGGCATCTGGGGCAGCGCCCTGAGCAACAAGATGGTGTTCACAGCAGCATTGTGCGACATGTTTCACCCTCTCTTCGGACTTTTCTTAGATGAAGTAGACATTCATTTCGTGGCACCTTTCAATCCCGAGAGGAGGGTAAGAAGGGGATGCACGAATGAATTATACAGCATCCATCAGATGATTCACCGTGCGTTCGATCTCATCGAGACATTGAATTCACAAGTAAATTCACGCACTCCTTCTTCCAGAGGCCAATCACTGCGACTTGAACACGACATTGACCGATTCCTTTACAACTTTGAGGCGCAGGTCCGTGGCTTCACGCACTGGGATCGCGTGAACACAAAAGGCATCTGTTTCTCTTGGGACTGTCGACCAGTGGGTCATATCGAATCTCCACCAGACATGATGGGCTCCCTCTGGTCGCAGACATTGCGTCTCCGTGACTCGATCGGGACGGACAAGCAGACACACTACCGTGTGCACGATGCAGAGGGCGAGGCAGGCGAGATACGGATTTCAAGTTCTTTGCGCTGGGCTCCCACATCAGTCGGTCTTCCAAAGGAACTTTTCGAAAGACACAACAAGGTTGCTGCACTACAGATGAAGAACCTGGGCTTCGGCGAAGCAGCAGTGATCTTGAGTAAAGTAGAAATATGAGCGAGAGAAAAGGCGTAGGATGAGATGAACGCCGTCCATGCTCTTTCGGCCTCCGATCGGTAATATACCATTTCCCGGTGGAGAGAGTGGGTCTTCATCTAGAACACTCCACATGTAGTACGAAATGAAGACTTCCGTCTTACAAGACGACCGACACCACTTCCCTCGACAGTGTAAACAAATATGTTCTCGACTAGAGGAAGACAAACACTGCTCTCCAGGGGCTTCATACAATTGGCGGATGTATTCCACTCACCGTGATCGGTAACAGGAATCGCATGTGATGGATTACAACACTCATCCCAGGTCAACACACCACAACGCCCATGTACGGTACCTTCCCCGGATAGAAGGACACCCAATATACTCTTTCCCCGGAAACGCACCCCATATTCCACTCCACAGCGGCTGAAATGCCCCCTAATGAAGCGTGATCGCTACCGGCCCCACGTCCATCAAAGAGTATTCTCCACGAATAACGACATGCAGAAGCAATACAAGACATTTTGGCACCGGCAATACGCCGCCTATGCATCGATCCTAAAAGATTGCAGTCATGTTCCCCGTGACGCAACGCAGCATCGCGCAGGGATCGGTTGTTGTGGCACATTGCATTTAACCGCGATTAGAGGCGCCAAGCCTGCTTAAGTCGAACTCCCGAAGGGTACACGTGTGGTGCTAAGGAAGACAAGAACCGGCGCCGGAAGCTTCATTTAGATTAATGCGAAACAACGACGTTTCGTTGTCTATACTGCATGGGGGAAGCGCCGGGCGCGCTTTGGGTACAGGCTGATCGACGACGCGCAGGCTACTGTGGCGTGTTAGATGAATTGTCCGGCTTCCCGCTACATGTGGGTAAATTTCCTAGGGCTAACGCATACATGTTTCCCCGTACTGGTGGCGGCATGCGCAAGGAGGGACCGAGGTGGGCTTGGTCGGATGGATATTGTTCGTAATGAGCAGGAGGGTGCGGAGATCGCTAATCTTGCGAGCAATATCAGTATAGGGCCGAGGGAGTTGGAGGTCTGGTATAAGTAGTCTGGGGCTCTCGACCTGAATTGAGGTATCCAGCAGCCTACATTCTTTAGAGTCCAAGTTCAGTTACCAGTCTCGATATACCATTCTCACCATGAAGATTTCTCTCGTCACCATCTTGTCCGCCGCCGCGCTGGTCCAGGCTGCGCCTTTCGCTGAGCCAGAGGCTCTCCTCGATGAGCGCCAGGCTGCGCAGAGCATCGATGCTGCCATGAAGGCAAAGGGCCGGAAGTACTTCGGTACCTGCGCTGACCCAGGTCGTCTCAACCAAGGCAAGAACGCCGCGATCATCAAGGCGAACTTCGGTGCCATTACACCTGAGAACTCGTAAGTCTTTCCAACCTCCCGATCGCAGTGTTGTGTGCGATGCTAACTGCTGGATAGCATGAAGTGGGATGCCACCGAGCCTTCCCGTGGAAACTTCAACTTCGGCAACGCCGACCAGACTGCCAAGTTCGCAAAGGACAATGGCAAGCTCATCCGTGGACACACCACTGTGTGGTACTCCCAGCTGCCCTCCTGGGTCTCCCAGATCAATGACAAGGCCACTTTGACCACTGTCATGAAGAACCACATCACCACCCTGATGAACCGCTACAAGGGCCAGGTCTACGCTTGGGATGTCGTCAACGAGATCGTAAGTTGATCTTCATATCCCGGTCCGAATGGAACATAGACTGACTTCCCCACAGTTCGAGGAAGACGGTAGCCTCCGCCACAGTGTCTTCTACAACGTCCTCGGTGAGGACTTCGTTCGAATTGCTTTCGAGACAGCCAAGGCCGTTGACCCTGCTGCGAAGCGTTACATCAACGACTACAAGTAAGCAAATCCTCTCAGACTCCATCAAGATCATGACACTAACAGCCGCCCAGCCTGGACCAAGCGTCCTACTCCAAGACCAAGGGTATGGTTACGAACGTCAAGAAGTGGATCGCCGCCGGCGTCCCCATCGACGGTATCGGTTCGCAGGGTCACATCACCTCCGGCCAGGGTGCCAACGCTCCTGCCGCCATGGCCGCGCTCTGCGCTGCCGCCCCCGAGTGTGCGATGACCGAGGTCGACATCCAGAACGCCCAGACATCTGACTGGCAGAACGTTGTCAAGGCTTGCTTGGACCAGAAGAACTGCGTTGGTATCACCGTCTGGGGTATCCGCGACAACGACTCCTGGAGGCCCAACGGCAACCCCCTTCTCTTCGACTCCAACTACAACGCCAAGACAGCTTACAACACTGTCCTTGCTGCTATCAACAAGTAAGCGCGTCACACACCGTGCACATCGCACACTTTCTGTATATATTTTTCGGTGGATTGGGGAAGACTTTGTACATACATGGAGGGACAGCAGAGACGTCTTCTGGCTACAGCCCAGCGTCTCAATCAATCTTGTTCTCTCGACCAGTCACAATGCTCTCCTTCTGTGCACTCTTCAATGCCTTGATGATACTTACGCCGGCATCCGCGCTGGCTCCTACTTCAGCTTGTTTCGTCCAGAATATGTCGGCTGCATTGATTCGAACGCTTTTACGTCTTTCTCGCTCCGTCACGTCAAGATGGGATTTCTTGTCTGCAGTTGCCTCTAGTCCATCCAAATGCTTCTTTCTCCTCGCATATCGCTCTGCGCGCTCTTTCCGAGTCTGCTCCGAACCGATTCTCGACAGGGCAAATCGTACAGCAGCTCTGAAGCCCATGAAGATGTGTTCGGAGATGAGGATCGTCACTGGTAAGCTGGCCCACGTGCTCAAGCCAAGATATTCGCCAAGGAATCGCTGGGAACCGAACATGTGTACGATGGCAGCACTGGATATGCTCCCCAACCATGTCAATGACTCTAGACTGGCCACCCACGGCCCGATACCGTCGCTACGTGTTGGGTGAGGACGCTGATGTTCGACACAGATCTTCAGGAAGTCCGACCGCAGCTCGATCCAGTTGTTGATGAAGAAGCCGATCGGCACGAGAGGCCACACGGGACTGAAGAGCGCAAGATAGCCAAACTGAATGACCATCTCTGCAATATCCTCTTGGACGTTGTATGATGGCCTCAAAGCTTGCCGTCTCGTGCGACGTAGGAAACGAGATTCCGCTGGATCTTCTGCAGTTGGACTTTCGTACGAGTCACTGCTGCGATTCTTTGCTCGGCTAGCTTGTCGGTCACGCCACCATTGTTTGATCTGAGTCTTCAGCCAAGGTAGCGCGAGCTCTTCGATTGCGCTCGAGACCTGCCCCGTTACGGTGAGCGCGATGACTTCGTTACGCAACCGGTCAGGGTCGGCCTTGAACACCATCTTAGCTCGAGTCTGCGCGCCTAGTGTGGCATCGATAACGCGTTCCAGCAACGGTATAATCTGGCCACCGAAGGGTACGTATACGAATGCTGTAAGAAGGATTGGTAGATAGTTGGTGATTGAGTTGAGCACAAAGATCTTTTGAGTCAGCGACATCTCGTAATGATCAGCTGTTCGATGGTTCTCGTATTCCGTCAGCGCAGTAGCGATGTCTTCCAGAAAGTTCGTCGCGTATGGGAGGAAAACTGCAAGAAGCACCGTAGGCAGGTATTCCTAGTGAAATGTTAGGAAACCGCAATGGGTGGGACTGGGCATATACTGACCAAATAGAACTTGTAAGGCCCTTCATAAGCTTCTCCAATGAAGGTCTCGATGGTAAAGACGAATGCGATCAGAATTCCGAGTAACAGAGTGCTGACGAGGACGAACGGTATAACGACCAATTGGCGCACAATCCTCTTCCATCTTGGGAACACATGCCGAACTCTTCCAGCTGAGTCAATGATCTCTTGTTCGTAGCGGAATTGCGGGCGGTTGACTTTGAGGTCGCCGACTCCTCGTACCTTCCATCGGATGGCGAGATCGGTCTGCTTGATCTTCCAATACTCCAAGAAAACAGTGCACCAGACTCCGATTAGGAGTGCGAACAACAGAGAGTATTTCGGCAAAAACGCCCAGGCAAATACACCAGCAGCGCAAGGGAATGCCAAGGATCGAAAGTAAGTCTGGATGAAGGCAAAGTAGAAGGCAACTTTGGCACCCCATAAATCACGTATACGGTCCAGGTCGGCTGGTTCCAAGAACACCCGAGTGCTCAGATGGGCCAACAACGCGCGGTTTGCACCTGAGTTGTGTAACGGGAAGATTGCGGTCACATTTTCCCATGGTGGAAATTCTGGTGTAATACCTGCGCCTCCAAGCTCTTTGCGCCAGTTGACAAGGTGATACATGGAAAGCAGATCTTCGGCTTCGAACTCTGCGGTGACAACGGTCTTAGCGGTTCCGCCGGGATGGTCTTTGGTGATGCCATACAGCCAATCTTTGACTCTGCAAAAGCCTGCTTAGTCTCCTTTCAAATGACAAGGTTACGGACGAACTGAACGTACCGTGACTTGTAGACTGTGTTGCCAAGCAGATCTCTGGGCGCTTGGACAAACACCAACAATGTTTGATCGTAGCCAGGGCGTACCTCAGTATTGAGGCCTGCAGACTCTAGGTCATGCAATAGCGTCTTGCATTCTGCGATGGCGACGTCGTCATCTAGTCCTCGTCAGCCGTCCGCTCTAACACTACACCTTTGTGACATAACGTACCGACATTGCCAAAGTCATACACTATAACGTACTTGTCGTTATAGGTGACGTTCGCAAGCTCAGTATCATCGCTCAGTGTCGTGTCCGATCTCTTCAAGGGTCTGATTGACATGGCCAAAAGGGCTTAAACCGAGCGGAGAACCAGGGTAGCTGTCGAGACTGTGAAAAGTAGGGTCCACAACTGTGGCTGAAGGTTTTATAGCGTTGAGCCACTGAGGCGTCGTCATCGTGCTGGCCATGGCTCCTGTGGAGTCAGGCAAGCCTCAGCTGTGTCGCGGATTGGTGTTCGGTGGTGGGACCAACGCGTCCGAGTGCCAAACTTAGCACTTCGATGCCGACCGATCCGGAACCGTGGGGGAAGATGGGCGTTCACTTCTGTCGCGTGTGAGGAGTTGTACATTTCGCAGGATGTCGGACGCTGCAACTGCATTGAGGGAGGAGAAGGTGCAGGGCCTGGAATCTGGAGATGGAGCGATGGAGCGATTGAGGGAGATGCCGTCACATGTGCGCGTCTGTCTGGGCCTAGCGCTCGAAACTGCCAATGACGTAAGCTATCGAGGACGCGTCGAGACGCGTTGTAACAACGCGAACGCTTCACATTTGCTTTGTCTGCATTTCTTTCGCGAGCACGATTCATCGTAGACAAGGAATGCAAGGAAATTCATTAGCACTGTATCGAGATTCAAGACTCAAGACTCGCTCTACCAAATGGACACAAAACAGGAACCGATTAAACTGCCTCTAGAGCAGACACAGCTCCGAACATAACCATGCGTCAAGAGACCACAGTCACACAGAAGTCACCAGTGCCCAAATCCTACGGCTTCCTTCCGAAAGGCGACCGCTACAAGACACTGCATTGCCGCAAACTCACCCACGAAGCTGGCCGTCCACTGTACGTCGTTGTCGACGGCCAGAAAAGAACGACTGGCATCCGTATCCCCTTGCACGTTCTGCACAAGGTCAACAAGCTGTCGAAAGAAACGTTGTCAACCCGTCGCGCAGCTACAACGAAGCGCGATGCAACTGACATTGCGAACGCAGCTGCTGAGATAGATACGCAGTTTCCGAAGATACCAGCGTCAGAGAAGCAAGCCGTACTTAAGCACGGCTTCAAGAAACACTCTGGTCGAGTCGGCCGAACGACCTCAATACCGTTATCACGGAAGATTTTGTTTGCTGTCATTGCGCATGTCCGCCATACGCACACTGACTATGATGCGTTGTTGCAGGGTGGAAAGAGCAGGGGACACGCGAGGAAGACCACGAGAAAAGGTATTGAGACTGTGATGCGGAAGTGGGGATACAATAAAGGTACGAGAGGGAAAGCGCTGACTCCACGTAAATTGACTTACTGACTGTAAAGAACTCAATTGGTACTTCCGGACTGAGAGCGCATAGGGTCGGGGAGATGATGGTTATTTGAAGAGGAACAAAACGCCTATGATATGGTATCTGCCATGCAAAAAGACGATTACAAAACCCATTCACTCCACGCTATGCCATGATCCAAAGCCCATTTGACGCCTGCCCGACTACGTGACTAAAGCCGCATAGTACGTGTTCTGCCTGTGAGGGATATTCAAACCCAGGGCGGTTGTTTGCGTATCCAAAAGTATCGCTTGCGAATACTAGCCGTCGTCTGAATCGACTACCATACTCTCCCCAAACGCACTAAGATCCTCCTCCGCCGCGCCTTGCGCGTGTCGCCTCCTGCGACCTCTCCTGCCAGCAACCCGATTCTGTTCGATTTCGCGTAGCTTGCCATTCATTCTTCGCTCGAGCTCCTCGATCTCTTCGTCTTCATCTGCGTCTCCTGTCATGTCTGGTCCTCCCGCTGCTCCAGACTCAAGGAGTCCGCTGTCTGACTCGTTAATCTCTAGCGCGCGATTGAGGAGGTCGGTAGCCATTGGGTCCTGGGGCGAGACGGCGAGGGCTTCGTGCAAGGTGATGATAGCGTCCCAACTTCTGTTGAGGTTTAGGAGAACCAGGGCTTTTGCGGTGAAGACGCTCGGGTCCTTTATGCCGTGCCGAAGCACTTCGTCGAATGTCTCGAGAGCTTCGCTGTACTGTTCACACTTGCGAAGCGCATGGGCGAGATTTATCCGTGTGGGTATCCAAGCATCTGGGTCTGCTTCGTTCTGCTCTGAGAAGGCTAGCGCGCGGCGGAAGAATTGTATAGCGTCCAGTAGTTGTCCTTCGTGGAAGTAGACAACGCCCATCTCGTTAAGAAGGCAAGGATCGTTCTCGCACAGATCGTATGATGTCTTCAAGTACTCTCGCGACAAACTCAGATTGTTCAGTTGTAGGTTTTGCATGCCGAGGAATAGCTGTGGGAGATGCGAGCCTTGGAAGAGACGTGCCGCGGTGGAGTAGGCGGAGATGGCTTGATCGTGTTCCCCTTCTGCGGCAAAAGTATGCGCAAAGCCTATCCAGGCAGGGCCAAAGTGTGGGTCCATCATGGAGGATTTGGAGAAGTAGCGGCGTGCCTCAGCTATGCGACCGATTGCGAGATAGTAGGTACCAACGGCGAACCATGCGCATGGTTCTGAGGGGTTCGTGTCTGCTAGTTCGTGCGCAAGCAGGAACAGAGTGTTCTTCTCGCCAAGCTCGTGCAAAGACGCTATATGTATGGGCATGATGTTGAAGTTGTACTTGTCGTTCGCTAGGACGGCCGACGTAAGGGCAAGGGTATCGCGGAAGCGGCATAGGGTGAACATGAGATCCGCTTTCGAGAGGACTATGTCAGGGTTCTCGCCAAGGTGGTAGTGAGTCGTGAGTGTCTCTGTCGCGTTCGCAAACTCTTCTGGTCTGGTGTACTTGGATAGGCGTGTTGTGTAAAGGGTCTTGGTGAAGGACGCGGCCTCCTGTGACAAGGAAGGGTTGTTGGCGACGTTGATGGTGTCGAAGTTGAGCGATTCGAGGAACTTCCACTCCTCCTCTGGTGCCATCAATGAGTTGGACATAAGCGCATCGAAGGCCTCGAAGCATTGCACGTCGATCTGAACCGCCGTCTTGTAGCATTCCTTGGCCCGGTCGAAGGAGTTCTGCTTTGCATAGCACACACCTCGAAGATAGCACATGCCTGCTTCCGACTTGATGTTGTTAACATCTTCTCGATCGCGCTCTTCGCTCGTGGGTAGGCGCTCGTTGCGCGAGCCGTTCTTGGTCTGTCTTGCGCCGGCCCGTGTGTTGACGTCGACATGCCGCAGCTTGGTGCGCGTATTCCCTGGCGCCGAAATGAGGTGGGTTGGGTTCTTGTCGCCCAGTATCTGCAGTGCGTCTTCCAATTTCCCCAGCTTCAGAGAGCAGTGCGCAGCGAGGTATCGACATTGGGGCGTGCGCTCAACGAGGTTTCCGCGTGCGAGGAGTGACTGGGTCCTGTTGTAGTTGCCGGTGGTGAAGTGCACCTGGGCTAGCCAGAATGCGTCCTGGTCGTCATCTATGCGATTTTGTCAGTATACGTTGACCTGCCGAGTGTTAGAGCATACCCGTCAAGGCCAGCAGCTTGTCTGCAACAAAGATGGCTGTGTCGTACTGGCAGCGATTGAGGGCTTCCTGGCGCCACTCGCGTAGATATTTCTCCATAGTGTTACTATCGCATTGGGTATAGTCTGTTCAGGCGGGTTAGTGAATGTGCCCCAAATGCTATCCCCAGTCGAGGTGGCAGTCGGCGGCGGCGCGATGTTTGGAGCCAGGGTCGCGCCTGCCCGACGCGAGAGCACATGTTTGCGGGGTGCCTGCAGCAGCGGGCCGCCTTAGTCAGCCAGAAGTTGCGCGCTAGGGTTGCCGTTACCTGGACGTGATTTCTAGCACTCAACTGACATCCAACACCCCACACACGCTCATCCATATCAAACGCGACACCTTCATTTGCGCAGCATAAACCTTTATATTCTGTTTCAACGCATCCGCTCGGAGCACCCGATCAGCGCCGCACCGCACCAGACGTCGTATAACCCGCCGCCATGTCCGAACGAAAAGTGCTCACCAAGTACTACCCACCGGATTTCGATCCTTCGAAGATCACGCGCCAGCGCGGCCCCAAGAATGCCGGTCCTAAGCTGATGACGGTCCGCCTCATGGCACCTTTCTCCATGAAATGTACCCACTGCGGCGAGTTCATCTACAAAGGCCGCAAGTTCAATGCGCGCAAGGAGACGACCGACCAAAAGTACTACAACATCGCCATCTTCCGCTTCTACATCCGATGCACGCGATGCTCCGGCGAGATCACCTTCAAGACAGACCCCAAGAACATGGACTACGAATGCGAGCGTGGCGCGAAGAGAAATTTCGAGCCGTGGAGAGAGGCCAAGCTCAATGAGGAGACTGAAGAGGAACGCCTGGATCGCATAGAAAGGGAGGAGGCAGAGCGCGACGCCATGAAAGAACTCGAGACAAAGGTCATCGATGCCAAAACCGAGATGGCCATCGCGGACGCTCTGGACGAGATTAGGTCGAGAAACGCAAGGCTAGAGAAGGCGGACCGCGAGGGCAAGGGAACCGAGGTACAACCCGATGCTGCCGACGAACGACGCAAGAAGCAGGAGGAAGAAGACGCAGAGGCTGCACGACAAGCATTCGCGAATCGGAGCATGCCTGACATCGGCGAGGAGACGATTGACGAAGACATGTTCGACGCGCCTATCGAGGTACCTGTTGCTACAACTTTCACCAAGAAGCCGAAGGAAAAGAAAGACTTTAGCGCAGCGTTAGGCCTGAAGAAAAAGGCGCCTGCCTCGACCCCCGCCCCTCAGGTCAAAGCCGCCGCACAACCCTCGAAATTATCGACCATGCTCGTAGCTGGTTATGATAGCGATGACGACTGAGCTGTTGGAAGGCTATTCCAAGCGTACAAGAGCAAGCAGGGCATACACGTACCCATGGCATCCCGGATGCCACCTAGGTCACACAATCAGCCACAACGTGGTGTATATTTGCGCTGGCCTCGTATAGATCGTTGAACACGGTATTGTTGGTGACTATGCGGTGAGTCTGCCATGGCTAGTGAAGGTGACTCATGCAGGACCAGCATCGAAGCTTGACGAGTCCATGAGGTTCATTACCGAACAGTCGCGAATAGTTCCTGCGCCCCAGAACACGGAAAAGGACTATGCGCATTCGACTGCCTTCTTATTCTGGTCGACGGAACCATCTTGTTATGGCATTTGCATTAGGCCGAACTACCGAGGCTGCTTTTGTAGCGCCTTGGAAACCGGTAGCGCCGGATTAATACCACACCCCATATCCAACTTAATCTATCCCCAGACCCACCTACCAGAAGAGGTTCTAATGACTTTGTGACTACGTTACCCCGCAAAAATGGTCACCTTCCCGGTCTGACGCTCCTAGGGTTCACCGAAGCTTGGGTACCTAGCCGTCTTAGGAGGGACAGCCGTTGCGCAACGCTCGTGACGTCGTATCCTTGACAAACTATGTGGCAACGCCGGATGGAACTTTATTTCACTGCCTTTATAAGTGGCCTTCCGCCTTCTCATCTGCTCGTCATATCCAGGCTTACCGTATTCCTTTCACGATGCGTCTCCTCACTTTGTGTAGTTTGCTTCCCAGCATTCTTGCTTTACCATCACAGACCCTCGACTTTTCAAGACATGCTATTGCATCTCGCGCCGACTCGTCTCTTACAAACTATCTCGGCGTCTTCTTCCTCGGCGACAAGCCTTCTGTATACTTCTACCTCTCCAATGGCAACAACGCCAACTCCATGACTGCTTTGAACAAAGGCCAAGCGGTCATCAACCCGACAAAAGGCACTCTTGGCGTCCGCGACCCTGCAATCATATCTGGCGGAGCAGCCGAAGCTGGAAAGAAGTGGTACATCATTGGTACCGATCTGAACATCGGGAAGACAACGTGGGATGCATCCCAACGCACGGGATCCCGCGGCATCTTCGTCTGGGAATCCGTCGATCTTGTAACATGGACCAACGAACGCCTAGTCACTGTTGAAGATGCGACTGCAGGAATGGTCTGGGCACCCAGCGCTATCTTCGACGAAGCCAAAGGCCAATACTTCGTTCATTGGGCGAGCAAGTTTTATCCCACTTCCGACCCACAGCACACAGGTCCACCTTCGTCGATCCGCATCCGCTACGCATATACCAAGGACTTCAAGACCTTTAGCACGCCTCAGGACTACATCAACCGATCACCCACCAACATTATCGACCAGGAGTTTCTGGCTCTCGGTAACAACGCGTACGCGCGCTTCTTGAAGGATGAGAGCGCGAAAACAGTCTTTACGGAGATCTCGACTAATGGGCTATTTGGCACCTGGACTAGACCTGCAGGTGCTAACGCCATCATCGCATCTGGCGTTGAGGGCCCCGCGCCTTACTGGGACAACCAAGTAGCCGGCAAGGCGCATCTCTTGCTGG